CACTGGCTGAATGATAACTGATAATAATTACTCATTACTTCTCAGATCAGCTGATTTAAATATGAACTGTTGAAACCTCCCAGCAGGATACAAAGAATGATCTCCACCTTGACCAAACTTCCACAGTAAAATACTGCTTGCACATTAATAACAATCCAATAATATATGCTAATGTATATAGTGTCATTATTAGTAGTTTTACTTCTGTTACAGTATGACGTACTACTTAAGTACTTTTACTTAAGTAACATTTTGAAAGCAGGACTTTTACTTGTAAGTATTTTTAACTTTCCTGCTGTATTTGTGATTATTGGCGGTGTAATTAGCATCAGAAATAATTAATAACTTGTAACTTAATAACTTCTGTTGGCTTGTGATGAACCTGAGCCTTGTGATGAACCTGAGCCTTGTGTGTGTGTGTGTGTGTGAGATTGTATTTCAGGCCTATATGTGTGACTATGTAACTATTCCAGATAACTTAACTCACATTTTCTGTTCTTATAAAAAATAACATGACATAAAAAATGCTTTAAAAGAGTTGAAATACCAAATTTATTTTCACAAATGACTGTACAAAAACAAAAAGGAGGCAACAAGCAGACAAACAACATGAAAAACTGGCATTTTACTGTGAAAATCCTACAGTAAGGAGATGATTTATGTTTATTTATGAATGTATTATTGCTGAGTCTCAGAGTAAAATAACAAAAGGAGTTATTGTTATTGTTGACGACAGTTTGCACACTAACAGCCTCTTCTTGTATCTTTCTGATTGTTGATCCACTTCAGAATTCTTTCTGAAGATCTGAAAGGAAACAAGGATAAATTGATTACAAGAAAGAACAAACCTCTGAAATCAACCTGCCCTCATTTCACCTGCTAAGAATAAAACGTACCACTTTTTCTGAGAAGATCTCCTTTCCACGAACGAGCCATCCCATCCAGAAACTGATCAAAGTATTTCACGTACTTCGCCAGACTTGTTCTTTTGAAATCTGTGGAGAAAAGTAATCGGTGAGTTGAAGAGATAAACTAAAATATTTATTGGTTTTCATGGTGGTGAAGAACAATGATTATTACTATAAAAGAGCCCAATATCTGCTCAGTACCTGCCATATGCTTAAATGTATATTAAGTTAAGCACATTTTGGTTGATGTACCACATTTGTCACATTTTGAGCCAGGAAAAACTGTCAGATTACCTTGTGTTCACCTACATATAACTTCAAAAGTCAAAGATAATTCATATTTTAGAAGTTCACCTCTGATCTTTCGTCTTTCTGCTGCATCCTTCTCATTTTCCTTCTCCTTGACGTCGTCGGACTTCTCCTCCGCGGACTTCTCCTCCTCTTCGCCTGTCCGTGGTCGATCCAGCTCCTCACAGATCAAACTTTATAAAGAAATAAATAAATAGTTACATCAGCTCTAACGAGTATCAAACACTGAACTCAACAGACAGGAGGCCTTAAATTACTGTTTACCTGATTGTGGGCACAGCAAAAGGATCAAACGTATCCAATTCTTTGAGGTCCATGGGGACAGAAATGCGTCCTGGTCAGAGGTGGAAAGAGAGAGGTCACAGTGTATTCATTATATCATCCTGATTAAATCTCATCAGATCCACACTCACCTGTTTTGGGATGGACACTGAAGGGGCTCTTCAGCAAGTGGTTCACCCCTTTACTGACGTTCACATCGAGCCGGGGGTAACAATACTGCAGCATGATTTCCTTCTCAAAGTACTGGCCCTTCTTGGCAGTGCCCTGGAGGAACAAATATTGTATGATTGTGTCAGCTCTCTTTTCTGCAATGTTAAAAAACAAAAAATCAATCAAAGGTTAAACAAAGTCGTTATGTAATGCGAGCAGAATTACAAACCTGTTTCCTTTTGGCTTGTTCCTTGATCAATTTCCACCGGGTCTCTGGTTTCTTCGCGTTCTGGAAGTCCTGCTGTAAATCTTTTCTTACATGTAAGCAGTGAGTTAAGGTCAAGTCCAGTTATTTTCACAAGGTTTCTGCATGGTGAAAACACATTTTAAAAAAGGTAGCACACACACAGATTTCCAGGAAAGAGCTGACTATTCTCAATTACACCAATTTATTTTGGCCATGTCACAAAAACATGCTAACATTTCAGCCTCATGGCCTCCGTCAGAGCACATTTTTTCCACTAGCTGAAAGCTCTGCTGGATGTGTTCAGAAGATAAACATGCCATGTATCGTGAAAAGGATATCTTCAGGCACAAGCGCCAGCACTTTGTCTACGGATTCCTTGCGGCCCAGTATGTCCTGATCCTGTAGTGCGTACTGGGGGAAGTATTGCTCCACCACATCCAAAGACTCTCTGTTGATTACAGGTACAGACTCTTAAACAGACGCTACAACCTCATTAACAGTCAGTTAGACACAAACGTCACAACAAACACTTCAACCTGACCTTCGCTAATAAAATCATCAGATTCTTACCTGATAAAAGGATGAATTGGATCCAGCAGCACCACTTTCTTCACCATTTCTTCACCTCCCTTTAAAAAAAAAACAGAAGAGAACAAAATATCACATCACAAAAATGAACTGATTGTTTTTCTACCCAAAAGGAGTAAAAATCAGTTTAAAACATTTAAATAACGTTTTAACCAGTTATTAACAGAATTATGTTGATTCCTTCTGAAAACAAATCTGGTTGAAGGAAAAAGAAAATGTATAAATATTCTTGTGTTCAGTGTCGAGCTGCGACTAACACTTGTTTACATTATTGATTACTCTGCAGATTATTTAAATAAATTAAAAGCTTGGTCTATAAAATAGTGAAAAATGCCCGTTTTTATTTGTGCTGTATTCATAGTTTATTGTATTACTTAAAAGTTACAAACATCACATTTAAAAAGCTGGAAACAGGGAATCGGTTCGGCACTTTGCTTGAAAAATTACTAAAACGATGAATTTTATGTTACTTGTTATCTACCACACACCAACATATCTGAGATAAAACAATTTATGGATCGGGGACTGGTCTGGATTAAAAAAAACTGACACACACACACACACACACACACAATGAGCTGCTATAAACAAATAATAATCAGTCCTCATCATCAGGTAATAAAAGCTAAAATACCGTTACCTTAATCAAGCTGAGGTATTCAGCGACTGCAGAGCGAGCTGCTACAGAGAGCTTCCTGGCAGCTTCATCACACACCCAACAATGAACTCCTCTTCTGCCGGAATAAACCCACAGCAGGTGCTGGAAACCAAAGTCATCTAGAAATATCACATAAATTAAATCATAAAATCAAGTGTTTAACACCGACAATCGCAGGTAACATGAGCAGATACGTCAAGACAAAATCAATGACAAACAAACCTCGAAGAGCTCTGTCCAGGATGCGAATGGCGATGGTCATCAGGGTCCAGCACTTTGAGCAAATGTCTGCAGCACTAAAGTTTAAAAGAGGTTTTAATGACCTCAGGGATGTGACTGTCAGGATATGATGGGTTAACAAATGAAACCACATTATTCGTTTACCTGCAACAGCTTCTGACGTCGTCGTAATCGGTCATATCGATATCAAACACCAACTCCTTCTCCAGGGCCTGGAAGGTTCCTGACTTCACTGTGTTGTGTTGATTGGGCTGTGGGCGACAAACGGGTGAAACTTTATCCGTACGTCTGCGCTGACCTGAGGGAAAAATAAAATCAAGTAGATGCATGCAGCCTCACCCTGTGACTGTATATTGCTCCAATGTCGATCTTGTAAGGGTTGATCTTCTGCATTTCCTTCTCCAGCTCACTCTGTGTGCTGAACGACTGGTAGCGGACGTAGATGTCGTCTTTGAGTGTGAAGGAGAACTCTCGATTCTGAAAGTAGTTCTTCTGCACTGAGGTTGCAGGAGAAAATAAGAGCACATTAGTACAGCACTTTAGTGTCATTTCACTCACATATATAAGGGAAATAGAGCAGTGGTGCACTGCAGGTTATACTCAGGTGTATACAGGTAGTATACCCACTATCGCCACCTCTTTCCTAGGATGGCGAAGGCATGGCACAGATGTCTGATTTTCATAAGCGGAAGGATTAATGAATACTTACACTGTAAATGTATAATTATGTAGTTATCTCACCCATCTGTGGGCCAGTATTTATTGTAAAATCTGCACATTTTCTGTGGCTAATGTTAATTTCATAATGACTTTTGACAAGCAGCAGACTGTCACATTTTTAAATATGCCAGAGTAGTTTTATACTCTTTGGGTCATAAATTAAAGAGTAAACCCAGTCGTCCATGCACCACTACACCACTGGATATCATATTAAACAAATAAAACCTTCTAATTTTGCTACCATTATCTTGCCAGCTGGTCTGGCCCTGTCTGATCAAGGCACTCACCTCCACCATAGTTGAGCCAGCGGTAATACTGGGAGAAGGGGAACAGCCGGCGGTAGTACAGCGGTAAGAGGTCCGGCAGACAGGCCGAGTCATAACCGGAGGACGGCATTACCGGACAACGTGGACAACCGCTCCGGTACAGTTGTTAAAAAATATTGTTGAACTGCCACCGAGACGGTAAATACAGGCTGACAGCTCAGTGTGTTGTTTTACGCCAAGAGCAGCGCGGGAAAACTCTCGAGGAAAGCGGAGAACCAATGAGGCACGGTCACGACAATGACGTCACCGCAAAGCGGAAATGCGTTCGTAAGGAGTAAATGTTAAATTTAATTAATTTCTCTGGTCGGTTCAGCCAACAGCGTGAAGTAAAGCAAAAGCAGCCACGAAGAGTTTAATTTATCTTTTAGTTACGGTAAGACGTTGGCTGACGTTGGGAAAACTTCACTTAACCTTGAAATATTCGTCATTCAACGGAGGAGAAGGCGGAAGTGAAGAGCCGGGTGAAGAGAGGATCATGGGAAGTGTAGTCATTTCACTCTGCTGCCAGTTTTAATCAGACAATTAAATAAACACCGCAAATATAAATGAACAAATACAAGAAAAATAAATAAACAAAAATAGATTAAATTATACAGTTTACTAAATTAAACTAAGGTATTTAAAGGGAAAAAATAGAGAACGAGTGGTAGGGAGAGTTTCTTATAGATTTAAAATGTAGTCTTAGTTAAAACGTTAGAGTAACCTTTAAAGATGTACATTTATGTGTTTTGAATCTATCTGTTTTCACAACGTTGTTACATAAATATTCAAATACTTTGTTCTTCGTGAGAAACACGAATTTTGCATTATCATATTAAAAATGTAATCGTTACATCTTTTTAATCTCCCCCAGAAGATTTGGATGACAGTGGGGGTGATTTTGTTTCTACATTTATATTCATTAGGTTAATCATTCACTATGGTGAACCTTATACATGAGCCACCCAGTCCCAGTAAATTCAAATTCAAGTTTTTGGTCTATAGTCTATTTTATTTCATTTCAAGTTCAATTTATATACAATTATAGTAGAAAATAACAGAAAACATTTGCAATCTTACACTTTAACATATGGAAACATTGTAATATAGAATAAAAAGTAAAACACAATATCTTGAATATAGAGACATGGGAATTCATGTAATGATAATAATACATTTATATAAAATCAAATACAACTAGACAGTTCTAATAATATAAGCTTTATTACAATAACAAGATGATGTGAATACATTTCCATATATAATTTTAATTTTAAGAGTGTTCAAGATGCTTGAACATTTTTCAGCAGCACCAAAATTTGCTTTATAAATCTGTTGTTTCAGTGAAATATTCTCTGCTCACTCCAGAAACAAAAAGATTAATGGATCCTGTTAAATGTGTTGTGATTTCATGTCTTTGTTTAAACTGTAATTTATTACTTACACCTTCAGAGGGCAGTACAGTTTCTTGAAAAAATTACAGAGTTGCCACACAGGAAGTGTGATGGTAATTTTCAGCATCACAGATAAATAGTACTTAAATGTGTGTTTTTCTTGAGTCTACAGTAAGACTAAAGTCGTCTAAATAAACGTAAAGCCGCTGAGGTCAATAGCATGAACAGATAAAACCAAAAGGACGCCTGGTTTTCAATGAAACACGGGTTGACATGGCCTGGGATTCAGGGGCCTATCTGGCTAAATTTGTCTAATTTATTCCCTCATTCCCTCTTCAGTCGGATACAGTTGTAGATAAATGCAAAGTGCAAGGACAACCTTTGCTTTGACATTTTAAAAGGGCACTTTTTCTTTCAAGACAAAATGGGGCAGTGGGTGGTGCTCCTTTTTGTCCTACCCACTAGTCTGGGTGGTTCATACAGTCTAGTGGCAACAATGATTGCCTAATAATGATGTGGCTTTACTGTTGTATTTCCAGCTAGAGTCTCAAACTCCATCTGACTGAAGTGGCGCTGTTCACGCTGAAGGTTGAGAGCTGTGCAGCGATAAGAGCTCTTGTCAGTTATTGTACTTCTGATATGAAATAGCCGCCGCTCTTTGCACTGTGGCTGTACATTAAATATAACCAGCTCTATAATTTTATTCATTCTGTCTCTTCTCCTGACTTTTCCATTGTTGTCATTATTACAAGCTTCCTCTATCATTTCTGTCTTGCGCCTTTGTCACTCTGTCTTCATTTCACACAAAATGGAAATTTGACAGAATGCAAATGTCAGGACATTTTGCATGCAAACCTTTTTAAATACAGTTTAGATCAAAAGTCATCCTCCCTTATCTTGCTTCATGTGAAATGTAGGTGTGAAGCTTTAGAGAAACACATGAATAAATGCATGTTAGCATGTAATGTTTGTGGACAACTGACTAACCAAGACTTATACACTCTCCATTTTAATCAATTTATTTCTTCACATTTGTCAAACTACGCTCCACCATTGCTGTTAGCATAATATGCTACAGTATGTAAGTATGCTAATGGTAATGAAGTAGTTTTCTCCTTTGCAACATCACTGAAGTGTGCCACGTTCAAGAGCAATTAATAGACAAGCATTGCCAATACATTTCCACTTGATGATTGCACTTGTGTTTATGGTAATGTTCTTTAATCACAAACTGATTTACATAATGCAAAAGCTCTCAGCCATGTCTTTCTTGAATTATGTAAATTATTTTGCTGCAAGACATAAGGGATGAGATGGTTTTTTTTGTTGTTTATTTAGGTCCTGTCTTGTGATTAACCCCCGCTGTCTGCCTTTCTATGTGTACAGAGACAGTAGCTCCAAACCTTTGCATTACTGGTCATCTCTAAACTGTTATACTTGAACTTTCCTGTGGCTCAACATGCATGTAAATATGTAAGTATACCAGTATAACAGATACTTACAGCTTGCAAATGTCCACTGATAAACACACACACATACACACCGCACTAAATGTCAGTGGGGCAAGATAGGTAAGGTGACACAGGGTGAGAATGTAACTAGATAAATCTAGGTCAGACAGTCGTCAGGTGCACGTGAAGCACGTTGGCTAGCACTATAGGTCATCATGTTAGCTGTACACAATGAGTCTTTAGTTTGGGGATGATATAAAAGTCACTGCATCTTCAGATGACCAAAGTGTGCCACCTGTCGCCTATCATCAGTAAAATACCTGCTGCACATGAGTCTGTGGAAATCCTCTCAACCACAGTCTGATCATGTGATTCCAAATGTTAACCTCACTGTTAGTCCCATCATCATGAAGACCCACACGGTGTAAGATTTATCCTTAAAGGAACAGCAAAATTATCACTAAATTTCCGACTGTGAGGCGAGATGAAGGCTACTTTTCTCATGTGTGTATTGATTTTGAAGCTGGAGACAAACTCAGTTAGCGTAATTTAGCATAAAAACTGGAAGTGGGGGAAACAGCTAGCCTAGCTTGTTCCAAAGTTATAAAATATGTCTACCAGCCCCTCTTAAACTCACTAATTAACATGTAGATCATTAAGGATCTTATGAGAAATCTACTGTGTAGGATTTAGTGGCATCTAGCAGTGAAGTTTCAGTATGCACTCACTGAACACCCCTCGCATCTGTATTTGCCAATCTGGGAATGAGAATGAGCTGTAAAGTGTAAAATATGCACTGTATTTTTGTGCATTTATTCCAGTTGTAGTTCTGCAGAGATGCCCTGACCTGCAAATGTTGTTCTCCAGATTTTAGAAAACAGGTGCAAACCCACCAAAATTACATGAATTTATATTTTTTTATTATAGTTTTTAATGTATCATGCAGCCCCAAACGATTCCTATATTAAGGTGATTATAGACTAATTTAAACATAATTATGAATATTATATCCCATTCTTGCCAAAAGATCCTCCTAAATGTTACATACTGGACCTTAAATTGATAAATCATATAAATGGTTTAAACTCAGAACAAATGTAATGAAGGCTATCTCAAAAATATGTTAATTAATGAAAACATCAGTAATTATTTAAAAGTTTTGATGAAATGGAGCCCATTTGTTCACTTCCTTACAAGCGTCATGGGAAAAACATTTCCTGAGCTACTGGCGAGCTAACAGGTATCCTCGGGCACCACGTCAGAGTTTCAAACAGAAGAAAAGAAAATCTAAAAAAAAAGACAAATTAAATCTGAAGGGAGGCAGCAGCCTTTAAGACACTGTATTATATACGGTTTGCATGCAACTCAGTGTTTGGAAAGTCACACAGAGATACAGTAAGACCTCTAAGAGGGAGAAATGGAGCATGAGGGAGTGAAGCATTAAGTGTTGTTATAGTGTATGAAGTACATTAGGGGAGGAAGCGGAGATAGAGAATTTCAATCAAGCAAGACAGAGAAGAAACCATTTACCTTGATTCTCTCCGCACCAGGCAGCAGGTGCATGTGGTGTCCCTGTTCAGGGTTTCACGCTATACATTAATGGCATCAAAGAGCCGCCTGTGACAAGTTGAGCGGTTGTTTCCATTTATGTTCTGCACAACTAGCCACGCTCCACTTCCTCTCCAAATGGCTGACACTGTTATACTTCAGATTGATGAAGCCATCTGTCATCTATCTGGAGTTGGGAGGCAGCACTTGGCTTATATAAAGGTTATATAAACATATGTACACATACAGTCACTCGTATGTTTCATGTAAAAATAATTTCATGCAGCCTCACATGGCTGTATCAAACACATATACACAAAACACACTAAAATACACACTAGAGAGACATTTAGACATATTCTCTAAATTATGATGAGCTGGGTTTTTTTATAAACACCGTTATTTTCAACCATTTTATAATCTGACCAAAATGACATGTCGCTGAAGCTCTGACCTCTGATCTGAGCTACACACAACCAGTTGTACTATTGACACAAGTTCAGATAACGGATGAGATGGCCTATAACCAGAGACACATCAAGGTTTCCACAGAGAGGACAAAAATCCCCTTTTAATCACCAGGTTCTTAGTGTTTACTTAACGGAAAAGGTTCAACGTTTTGGGAAATACGTTTTTTCTCCAAGAATCCAAAATGAATTCCAACTTCCTGGAATCTCTGCTGGTTGCCTGGCAACGTCGCAGTAACGGTCACTGCGACTGACTAACTAATTTCCTCCCCGGGGATCAATAAAGTATTTCTGGCACAAATAAACCATATTGTTCTTTTTACCCTTTGGCTCAGATTAAACTATCTTTACAAGTAGTGAGCTTTAAATGTAAACGTGGGCAGATTTTTATACAGTTTGACAGAGACAGGCTAACAGTTTCCCCCCGCTTACAGTCTTTATGCTAAGCTAAGCTAACAATTGGCTGTAGCTTTATATTTAGTACATATATATGTGTATATATATATATATTTATATCAGTTAATTGACTAATTGTTTCAGCAAAGTTTAACTTATAACAATATGTTTTATAACTCTTCATCTGTTAAAATATAAATCTGCAAAGTAACTAGAATCTACTGTAAAGCCTGATAAGTTAATTTAACTAATAAAAAGCTAAAGTAAAAACATTCTTGATTAAGCTGCTTTTACTTGTGACACAGACTTTATTTTCTAATTTTCTATTTGTACTGTGAAAACAAAATACCAATAGTAAAAAGTACTTTATCAGGAATGTGTCTGTCGGTGACGGTCTCACTTAAAATCACTAGTAAAAGCTGCTTAATCAATAATGTTTTCAACTCATAGGATCGAGTGAGTGCTACTAAGAGTGTTCGATGTAATCAGTTACAACAATCACAGTGTACAGCTGTAAAACAAATGTAGTGGAAGATAAAAGTACAATATAGTATAGATACTATAGTATAGTATCTATAGATAGTATAGTGTCTATAAATATTATAGTATATATATACACTATATATATATTATAGTATAGTAT